GGTGGACCATGCCTTGGCACTTGCCCCGTCCCACCCCCCTCACCCCCTCAGATCTGTCCCACTCCTGCCCAGGCCCCCACAGGCACCTCAGATCTGTCCCACTCCTGCCCAGGCCCCCACAGGCACCCTTGACGCAAATGATGTAGAAGTGGCCACGCCCACCCAGTAGGCCACACCCACTCCATCCACGCCCACCCAGTAGGCTGCACCCACTCTGGCCACACACCCCCGCCCCCCCCGAGGGCAACCGCAATGCTGATGCGGCCCTCAGTGAAATTGAGTTTGACACCCCTGGGTTACAGTGACCTTGAGCTATAAAACAACAACTTGATAAATAAGAGGGCAAGTCGTTCTATTTATAAAGGTACATGAATAGCAGATTTTTTACTCAGAGGAAAAACGCTGGCCAGTAAAAAGCAAAAGCAAACATTAACAGCACATCAGAATTCAGCTAAATGAAAGCATGTTGATCTTTTCTTCTCTTATAGGCTGGAGTGGTACAATGCCATCTACTGCTGAGGGCATAACTTAATTCAGACGGTTTTTCTTTTTCTCTTCTTTCAGGAATTTGAGCCCAGGTGTGGAGGTGATGGGACTGCAGGTCGACTACTGGACAGCTCAGGGGCCAGAGAAGAGAAAAGAGGCTGAAAAGCGGGAAATAGGCATCAAGAACACCCTGAAAAGCAACTTCCGCTCCCTGCAGGTCAGCCGCATCCCTAGTCCAGGAGAGCTCACCCCACCTAACACCATGGCCATGACTGTGGTCACCAAGGAGAAAAACAAAAAAGGTAACCAATCATCTAAGGAGTGTTTTTATTCAGGTTGTCTCACTTTGTTTGCCTTTAGTCATCCTGAGTGCCCTGTGGGTATATGTTAACATAATTAATAAAAACTCCTTGTGGTTTGACGTGGAATCTGGAATTAGCTACTTTGTCCACAACTGTAGTTTGGATTTAGCTCTGTTGAGCCATGATCTTTTCTTGGCAGTGATGTTCCTGAGTAAGAAACCTAAGGAGAAGGATTTGGAACCCAAAAGCCAAGTGATCGAAGGGATTACACGCCTGATCTGCACAGCCAAGCATCAAAACACCATGTTGCGTGGTAAGTGGGTCAGCTCAAAGGTTTCCAGGTTGGGACCTATCATGGCAGAGTTCTCCCTGCTTGATAAGGACAGAGTATAGGTCTTCATATGGATCTGCCAAGTCTACACTTGCTTTCCCCAATCTGGTGACCTCCAAATGGGTTCCAGTCTCCATATATCTGAAGGATATCAGTTTGAGGAACATACTTCACAAAAAAAGCTAGGGTTAAATTTCTTCGCCAGCATGCTCATGCAGTTTGTTTATATAATATGGCTCTTTTCTCCCTTCACACATGCCCCCGAGCTTGACCTAGTTATTCATCCTGCCTTTACCGTTCCTAGAATGATAATGTTCTGTCATCTTTCTTACAGTTTGTATTGATGGTGTGGAGTGGAATGATGTGAAGTTTTTCCAGCTGGCTGCACAGTGGCCAACCCACGTCAAACATTTTCCGATTGGTATCTTTGGCTACTCAAAGAATGTGTGATATGAAACAAGCAGCATAGAAGAATCCGGGCTCGGCCAGATAGACCAGAGGAGGAGCATCGACTTCCTTTGCTTCTGAAGACTGACTGCCCATACAGAGCCGACTCTGGCAAGGGCTCTACTTGCTCCATTTGTTCTGTGCAGGGAGCATCCCAATTTGCTTTATGTCTCACCCATGAGTTTTTTAGTTTAACATGAACTTGGGTTGTAGGAAAGGGAAGGAAGCAGATGCACACACACACAAAAATAAGAGAGAAATGGCTTTTCAACACAGACTCTTGAGACTAGAATATCAGGCCTGTCTTCTCTGTTCATGTGACATCGGGAATGAAAGAGGCTGAGCAGGGTTGAACAGCTTCCCAAGTTGCTTGAGGAAGATGGGACAGAGTTCCTTTCCATGCCTTGTCTAGCTGGCTTGGGCAATAAATGGGAAGGCAGGTCCTCTTTTAACTTGCTGCTACCTTGTAAATCTCTAATGGGGAAAAATGTGTGTTAACACCCTTTTCCTAGAATTGCTTAGCCAGGCTTGCCCAGAACATTCTGGACCAGTTGACCTCTGCTCACAAGTGCCACTTGGCAGTCCTCTTTCTTAGAATTCACCGAGGGCTCCTGCGTCTTGGCATCTTGTAGTTTCTTTTTAACATGAAGCCACTTTCCCCTGTCTCTCCTCTTATTTGGAGTGGAGCTGGCATCGTTTGACTTCTCACACAGTTGTGTAGAGCAGAGTATCTAACACAAGAATAAGGGGATGACAACTGAGACCAGCATGATTTCTGGATCTGCTCCAGAGGCTGATTGAGAGGAGGTGGTATACGAGCCATTTTGTGTTATTCTTACCTTGCTCAAACTTTTCTTAAGGAAGCAGCTAGAGGAACCGTTTCCTTCATTTCATGAGCTGTGAGCACAACAGAAGGAGATGGCACATAACTGGACTTCAGCAAGGAGAAACTGGTCCAGGCTGTGCCATGAACCAGCAGGCAGGAGTTCTCTTTTCCAGCAAAGGGAAGAATCATAGAATAGATTCTGAATGAACACTCTTTCAATAAAATAGAGGGGGAAAAAATCTTTGCTAAGCAGTATTGGGGAGGGGAAGATGGAATGGGGCAGGTAGGCTTAAGCTCTCCTTCAGAGTAAGAAAATGTTACTTGAGGGATGGGATTAGGCCATTTTCTCCCCAGAAGTATTTTAGCTATGCGTACATATTGCATATTTGTTTTCTTTGCCTGTACCACACTGCTATGCCCTGCTGTATAGGTAAGGTCAAGTACTAATATCTAAAGCTCATGGAAGTGGTGCGGCAAGCTGGGCCCCTCCCACCTCTGTTCAGATGAAGAAAAAGGTGCTCTCGTGTGATGGAGCCAGCTTATGAATCAATACACTCCATTTATTGCCAGCAAGAGTGCTCCCTTCCTCCTTTCCCCAGATCAGCACTTTGCCTGGACAGGTCTCAGGGTAGTTACTACATCCACAAGTTGTATCCAGTTCCACCTTTGCTGTGTTGTAATAGATCTGTGGCACTGACAGACTGATGAAGCTGGCAAGTATGAGATCCACTGGCAGGTTCAGGTGCAATGATGTGCCGGGGGGGGGGGGGGGGGGGGNGGGGGGGGGGGGGAGGGGATAGCCATAGACCTTTAAAATTGCTTAAATTGATCAGGAGGGATTGAAGAAACGAATTTGCGAAAATACAGCGAGTGTCAGAAGGCAGCTACTAGTGCCTCCTTTCCTTCCCTAGGCGGATTCACAAATGTCCCCATTCATTCTCTTATCCCTAAATCATGCAGGCTCCAAAGGCCAGGACCGCTACCTTCCTGGAGCTTGTGTCACTAGTACTGCCAAACCAACGTCCCCTGCCTTGAAAGTGTGTCCTACCGAACTTAAGAGACCTAAACTGTGGTATTGCGCCTGCCTGGCGAATGCAGCTGCTCGTGGTTAGGAGAGCAGGGATGGTGGGTAAATCCCATTTTTTACAAGATTCTATTTTTGTTAATGTAAGGTTGCTTTCTGGATTAATTTTAATAAATTAATGCTGGTACCATTGTGATTGATAGCATCAACTTGATTTTATTCCGTTTGGAATTGCATCTTGTTCTTCTTTGTGATTTAGGGGTGCAAGGCATCAGCCAAATGACTTCACAAATTAAGAGGTCTTTAGTTTTGAATTTGCTTGAATACTTGAGGCTTTCCCCCCCTGAAATACAGTCTAAAAAGTATGAAGAATTTAAGAAACAGACATGAAATGGGAGGGAGGGGGTCAACCTAAGGAAAACAACACAATTCAACTGGCAGCTTTAGGCCTTTTGCGTACAGTTAAGCAACTCTATATCCATCTACTGTGCCTATGTTGGCATCCCTATTCATTGTCTGGGAATACAGTAAAAATATGGCCTGCTATTCTAGCAGCTTCTGACAGAAGCTTATTTACCTCATCATATTTCCTTGTCTGCTTGTTTATGAATCAGAATGACATAATTTTTTAAGAGCATTTGGTCTTGAACTATATGCCAAGATATTGGCAAGATCGGGATAAGAATTGCACTTGTTATATACAATTAATGTAGCTGCTTCCCATGTTTTAATGAGTATTCTCTACCTTTAAAATTACAATTCAACAGCAATTTTTGAATGGACTCTTAAGAGCTAAAGCAAAGCCTTTTTATGAAGTGGACTCAGACCTACATACCGTTGTGGATCTATAAAACCATCCAGCCTCATTGGGAGTCAGGCAGCATATAACTTTCATGAATAATAATAATCTTAAGTTTTGCACAATAGTGAAAAGTGCAATGAAATTATTGCATCAATAGTGGACAATTTGTGGCTATGGGGATGTATACAGTCCTTAGCCTCCTTTCATAATTGCACTGTTATCAAACTGTTGGGAATAGCAGTCTGTCTCTCTGGGCAGGGAAGAGAGAAAGAGAGAGAGAAAGGGAATAAAGAAGGATGTAGCAGGATATTCCAATCTGCTTTTGATTGTACCTGCCTGCACAGGTTTCAGTTCTATTGCCAAATGAATGCAGTTCCCCATGGAGAAAAACAGCCTATTCCTGCTATCACTATAATTTTGATGTAAAAAATTAGAAGATAATAAAACACATATCTGCTATTTAAATTTCACCCCTTGCACAGAATACAATTTGTGTGGCAAGGGAGGTAGGTACTGTTTTGAAGGAAAGCTTACAATATTTTTTAAAATCAAATTCTGGAGGATTTTGCACTACAAATGAAGGCAAATGTAGGTGTCCCAGGATATTGTTGCAGGATCCAATCTGGGTTGGTCACCGAGACCAGAGGTTTAGTCTTTTACACTAAATCATCATACTCTCCAATTCAATCACTTGTAGTCCCTTTCTGGCTTCCTCTTAGTCCAGGGGTGTCAAACTGCTGGCCCGCAGGCCGGTTTCATCATACTGAAGACGCGCCCACCCCATTGCCGGCAATGGCAAAACTGGCCCGATACGTTGCGCGACGTCACATGACGTCGTGAGTTTGACACCCTTGTCTTAGTCTGATCCTATTCTGTGGTGGAACTGCATATTGCTAAAAACTCTTTGCAAAGGAAGGAGAAGTGTGTCAGGAAAAGTACAACTGAGTAGGAAGATATGAAATGAAAAAGGTCTGTTGCTGCACAAGAATTAACCATATCTGAGCAGCTGAAAGTTAACTTTTCACAAATGTTAAATATTTACAGTTCTACCATTTAAAGAATTCTCTTTCCATTCTGTGATCGTGGAAAATAGGAATATGTGCAAAAGGCTCCTTGGAACATATAAAGTAAAGCAGATCCTATTTGTTGTTTTTAATTTATTGAAGTTGGAAGTGAGCTGTTGGGCTTGTGAGCAAGAATCACTAGTTTATGCTAAATCATGCACAACTCTGGCTGTAATTCAAAAAGCCACATTTTGTATATTGCCAAATTTGTCTTTATTTGGAATTTGTTAATTGATGCGCTTCCAAGATTTTAGATAACATAGAAAAGAATTGAAGTGGAAGGCAGCTGCACTAGGTAACTAGGTAGCTCAAAACATAAACCATGGAAATGTCAGCATCAGAAATATTGTTGAGCAGAAACTTCCATCTCTCATTTTTACATCTCAAGCAATCTACTGCTGTAGGGAGAAAAAGATAAAGAGCTCCCAACCAATTAGTTCTCATAGTGAAATAAGCAACTACTTGCTCATAATGTGCAAAATGCAACTAGGTAAATCATCTGAAGTTGTATGCCGCAAATAAAATAAAAAAAAATAAAAAATAAAATTTTTTTCTTAATTTCAAGGTTAAGGAAATGGAACAGGTACCTGATTTTTTTTTTTTACTTTGATCTAAACCTTCCTTTCATCCAATCTTTATCAACTATTATTAGGTAGGGATGCAAGGGTCTAAATAAGAAACCCAGGAGATAACAGAAATGCTAAAAACCTATTCTTTACTAAGGACTGAAGAGTGTTTTTTCTAGGTAAATGAACATGAGTTACAAAAACAACACACTCCTTGTTGTAAGGTAGACAACTGCAAATAAATAAGAAAAAGTCCATTGCCTTAAGGCAAAAGGCATGCATCAACAGGAGGATGAATATAAGGATATTATATGAGGATCATATAACAAAATGGGGCTTCATTACATCCTGTGGCAACATGATAGTCTGGAAATAGCAGTTGCACATGGTGGGGGTGGAGAATGGTTTGAACTGTCTGGCTTTAGAATTGAGCCACTTTGCTCAAGATATACAGAAAAAAAAGTGTTGAATTATAGCTCAGGCCATGTCCCCCAACTGTGGTTAGGCAGTAGAAGAACAATTCTTTTCAGGAAGAAAAAAAAACTATTACCGGAAAACTGCTCTGTTCATCACATGATCAGTTCTTCCCAGCTTTTAATGTTGGAGCATTCTGTTCTACTTGTAGAAAAACCAGGAGAAAGGAAAAAAAAAACCCCAAGAAACTCCCTACTGCCATACTAACCAGATACTAGTGCTTTTACAAACAGCTTTTAGGTTTACCTTCCTAGCTTGTTACACACACATATACCAGGAGCCAATTTTATCTAAATGTAGAAAATGTTTGTTTCTTCTCCATACAAGGCGTACTGGGCACTTTTTTGATTTGCACAGTCTGAAATACTACTTGAGGCTGATTCTTTGGCAGTGCTGGGGTTGGAATATCTTCACATACATACTGTAAAAGTTGTGGAAAGTTTTCCTGGCGCTGGACAAAACCCTGATTTAACAAATACAATATACAAGACAGGACATCAGCACTGCTGCAGACGTTTCCCAGGAAGTCTGAAGGTGAGGCACATCTCTGTTTGTGGCAGGCTTCAATTACCTGGAAGAGGCAAAAAGAATGAATGGAATTACAGGTAATCCTTGGGTTATGACAACTCGTTTAGCGACATTCAAAGTTATGATGGTTCTAGGACAGTGATGGCAAACCTTTTAGACACCAGGTGCCCAAAAACTGCCCTGCCCCCACCTGCTCTGCCCCGCCCCCCGGTCTGCCCCCGGTCCACCCACCCCGTCCCTGCCCACCCCTGCTCCACCCCCACCCACCCTCGCTCCGCCCCCACCCTGCCCACCCGCAGGGCCACCTACCCCCTCCATGGCCCGCTGCAGCAGATTGCCCAGGTGGCCCTGCAGCGCCATGATGGCCATGCCCTCTGCCTGCGCCCCGCAGCATCCTCTGCATATGATGGGGCGCGAGGGCGGAGGGACAAGAGTTGCCCTGGTGGTGGCTGCAACTCTCCTTTGGGGGGGGTTGCTGGTGAGGGGGCTGTGGGGGGACGCGGGGCTGGGGCAATGGCGCACGTGCCCACAGAGAGGGCTCTGAGTGCCGCCTCTGGCATGTGTGCCATGTGATTGTGAATTAGGTGCTTGGCAACCAGGTCACAATTACAACAGTTGTAGCATCCTACGGTCATGTGATCCACCATTTCCAACTGTCCCTGCTGGCTTCCCACAAGCAAAGTTGAGGGGAAAGCTAGCAGGAGGTTGCAAGTTGATCTCACCATTCTTTTGCCTTCCCACCAGCACTCCGTAGTACCTACCCTTGGCACATGCCCGGCCTCCTACAGCACCCACCCAGGCTCTTCAGGGCCCTACCTGAAGCAACCTGCCCACGGCACATACTCTTCTGCCAGCAGCTCTCATCCTCTTGCCTAGGATTCCTGCCTCTTCCCAAGAGCCACATCACTTTAGCAATGCAAACTCCAATCTCAGTTGCCAATTATAGTGTTTCGTTGGGTTACCAGCTGAGCTGAATCCTTGTCATCCATACCTTGAATACCAGGCTGTCAATATGTATCTCTTTCTCCTCCTTCAGGATCTGGTTGAGGAGGCAGCAGATGAAATTCTTTTTTTTCTCCAAAGCATGGCATATTTTTTCTTCCGCATTCAGGTACACCGTTTTGGGTAAGAGGCACAGGCGCTGATCAGACACATGACCCAGTACCTCCTCATTCAGTCTTAAAATACCTGGCAAAGAAGGCTCAGCCTTAGAAGGGCAGAAATGCAGGCCTTTCAGAATTCAGCCGCCTCTGTCACACCTAGCAGGAAAGCTCTTGTTTCATAACTGAAGCTGGTAAACCAAGGGCTCCATGGAAGCAGCCCAAAGTCAAGATTTCCACCCAACTGACTAGAGTTAATCTTCCAAAGGACAAAATCCTCACTCTCTTACAGAATATGCCTCCCCACTTACTCTGTCTCTGGGTGAGGATCCCATTCTCTTTTATCAAGGGTTTCAGTGCATGACCTAGGAAGACAGGGGAGAGACCCGTGACTTCTAATAGGGTCTCCACAGAAACTTCCTGAAACCAATAGAAGGAAAAAATGGTTGAGTATGCAGAATGAGATAGGGGAATGCTGTGACATGTAGTCTTTAAACCCATTCTGAGAGAGATTGTAAGTGCGACGAAATTCCCACTTCCAAGACTGATTATAATGTGCAGTAAACTGCAGACAAGAAGAGGAAAAGATCCTGGGAAAAGGATTCCCAACACAGCACACACACAACCAATTCAACCTTACCAAGATTTCAAAAAATAATATCCAATTCAGATTAACACTTTTAAACCTCAAACTGCAGATCATGTCGAGATTGTTACGATTGTAGAATATTTCAGTATTCTTAACTGTCTCAGAATAGACAAGCTCTCATTAAAATTGGTTTTGTGAATCTAAACATTTTCAATTAATTTGGGGAGCAGCTATAAAATAAGACAGAAGCCTGAATCAAGCAAACCATCTGGCTGAATACAAGTTACTTCTCACCATTAGGGACAGAACTTCCTCCACTTATAAAAAGGAGAAACTACTTTTATCTGTGTAATACAGAAATTGCCTCAAATTGGAGTACATCCGGAATCAATTTACAATTGCAACCTTTGTGTGTATAACTCTTGGTGGTTGCTTGCACTAGTCCATGCAGTTTTCTTGGCAGCATTTGGTTTGCCATTGCCTTCTTCCTACAGCTGAGAGACTGTCCCAAGGTCACCCAGGTGGTTTCAACCTAAGATAATAATTAGCTTATGTATTTGCAATTTATTTCTATACTCATATTGTGGTGCACAAATTTCTACTTGGTTTGGGAAAAGCTGCATAAAAACACGCAAAATGAGAAATTAGAGGGAACACTGGTTAGGACCTGAGCACTGTTGAAACACAGAAGAATGTACATTTGCAGGGTGGACACCTGCAGGATGCAGCCTTGGTAACCCAGCTCTGCATGGCCCAACCAAGTCCATTCTAAGCGTGGTGGCTTTGCATGCGCCAGCCCAAAGCAGCTCTGACCTGCAAGAGATGGAAAGATCAGTGATCAAGAAAAACCAGCAAGATTGCCAATATCAATCTCCTGCATCCTGAAATGGCTCATCAAATGGCTAAGCGTTGTAATCTTTCATCTCAATCTTACATTTAAATAGTTTCATAATGGCTGGGCAATTTCATCCACATGTGCAGCTTTCGGGTAATCAAAGAACTAGTTCAGGACTTCCCAACCTTTTGACTCAATTGGAACATTCGGAATGTTATAAACATTCTCACAACATGGAAAGTAAACCACTAAACTGCCAGCCATCCTCCATTTGATCTTCTAAGAATAGCAGACTTATGCTATATGGCTTATTATATTGTATGAGCTAGAGATATAGATTGAAATAAAGCTGTACATGATGTACAAACTTTCATTTTTCTTTAATTAAGAACCTTTTTTAAAAGAGGGTACAGAATTCAGCAGATGCTAAGCAGTGTGCTGGCAGGCATACCAAGACCCTACATTGTTGTGCTGGGACTTGGGGACTAGACCATTCCCTGCCCTTCATATTAATGATATCATAATGCTGGTCCTGGATCCAGGCAGAATCAAATCTGATGTTTGCTTGGATCTCTAAAAATCTGCCCCAACTCTGTCATTTCTCTATCATCTTTGGGCAAGATAGTGATTTGCTCACTATCAATTAAGCCAGAAAGAAATAGAAGGGACCCAACAAAATTTGGACTAAGGGCAGTGCCATACTCACTCTGGATGTAGAAGTCTGCAAACTTGCTCAGGTGCTGACTGAGGGACGAGGGGAAAAACCTGATAGGGTCTTTCAGGTAGCACAGTGGAGGGATGGTCCAGCAGAAGGGAGACAATAGCAATACCTTCACCTCTGTCTCTTCTTCCTGTAAGAATGACTTCTCCTGCATCATCTGGGAGCAAAACATATCTAGTATCAGGTTTATGGCTTCTGAAGGACAGCAGAATATTCTAGAAATTAACAACTGGAAAAAAAGACGTGAGAGGGAAAAAATGCCTTGACTTTGGAGACTTTAGCCCACGGGTGTCACACTCGCGACGTCATGTGTCATGTTGCGACGTATCGCGACTTTTTTCCCATTGCCGGCAATAGGGTGGGTGTGGTTTTGGCGTGACGCATCCGGCCCACGGGCCGGCAGTTTGACACCCCTACTTTAGCCCTAGAAGAAGCATTCCTATCCAGCTCACCTCTCCCTCTTCCTCTTCTTTCATTCTTCCTTGCTGATCAACTTCCAGGAAATGTTTGTCAAACTGCTGGAGCTGAAAAAGGTGAAACTCCTGCTGCTGCTGCTCCAGCTCACTCAAGTTCTTCAACATCTGCTGAGGGTAATGGCTGGGGAAGCAGAGTCCAATTTGTTCTACCACGGCGGACTCCAGCCACGTATTGCCCAGAGACAGAAGACGTTCTCCTAGATAGTATCTGAACAGACAAGGAAATTTGGGTGAAATAAAAAACCAGAGCTCCCCCATCAGCTTACACTCATTCCCATACCTCCACTGACACCCCGCTTCTGAGATATAGGCCTATCTAATTATGCAAGAATCAGACTGACCCACCCCCTCCAGCCCCATTATCCCTCAGAACAAAATCTAGTATCACACTTGAATTTTTGAGGATGGTTTCATGCAGACTAAAGTGCTTAATCACTACTGCCCAAAAACTTGCAGCATGAGATCAGTCTACTTTATTTGCAGGTGCAGCAAACTCTCCTTTCCTTTCCCTCACCGATAGAAATGTTCAAAACTGTTGGCCAATTCCAATTCTGCCAGGAAACTGATGGGCTCAAGGTTCTGTTGCAGATGCTGCACCTTCTCTATGTTAGTTGAGTCTGTCCAACTGTCTCGGATCCATAGGTCAATGTACTGGGCAAACTTGTCGCTCACCTGGAGTCATAGAAAAGGAGGTGCCATGTGTCGGTCGCTAAGTGATGTAGTTGTTAAACAAGTCACACATGACCCAATTTTACAACAATTTTTATCACGGTTATTAAGCAAATCATATGGTTGTTAAGTGAATCGTGTGGTCGTTAAGCAATTCTGGCTTGCCCAATTGACTTTGCCTATTGGAAGCAGACTGGGAAGATAGCAAATTGTGATCATTTGACTGCAAGATGCTGAAACTAACATAAATGTGAAGTTGCCAAGTGCCCAAATTGTGATCACGTGACCACGGGGCCGGTGCAAAAGATGGGTTGTAGGTGACTTTTCCCAAGGCAGACCTAACTTTGTACCATCAATAAATGAACAGTCATAAGTCAAGAATTGCCATAGTTTCCCTTGTGTCATATTAAAAGTTACAATTTAATTATGACAAGAAAAGCATCACCTGTATCATTTTATTTGTATGCAAGTATTAGTCAAACCAATATAGAAAAACATCAAGAAAAAGCTTTTTGCCACATAGATCTTAAAAGCAGCCTCTGACAGCTAATTTTACAGAATGTACCCTACATTCGGAATACTCTGATATCTTGTATCTGTCATGTGTCTGATTAACAAAACACTTAAAAGGACTTTCAGGCATATTTTTCCCTAAAAGCATTTATTAAGGTTACAGAGATGTCAGTACAGCATGGTGGAAATGCTTAGGTCTGGCTTCTCTTCCGTTAAGCATATACATTCTAAGCATTTCCCTCCCCCCCTTATTTTGGGGTCATGGTTCACATCTTCCAATCAACTTGGAAGATGTGATTTACTTCCGGTTTCTTTTTCCCCCGGGCTATCCTTATTCTCCTCCCTTTTTCCCTGTTGCCTGGTTTAACTATAAAAATACCAGACAGTTCTGCATATTGTCAAAGCAAGAATATACAGTATTTGCAGCGTTGACAGTATCAATGTAACTCAAAGCAAGGAAGACCTATAAAATGTGGTTTGTAAAAAGTACAAAAAAAGTTTGATTCTTAAATAGGCAGGTTCTGAAAAAATCACAGAAAGCTGTTAAGGAAGACAGTGAACAGATATTGGGATGTCATTTTCCCTATATAAAATTGTCTCAGGAAAAAAATTAAACTGATAAATATTTTTATACGAGAATTTGAGAGAAAATGGTGTTATCTCAAGCTATCTATTCGTAAAGATTTGTCAAGCATGAGCTATGAACAGTTAATTCATTATGAGATTGGGAAGACTGTAAAATAGAAAGTTTTCTGAAGCTACCTTGTTTTCCTAAATGAGCAGCTCAACTACTTCTTATTCGTGTGTGATTCAGAGTTACAGTAAACAATTTATATTCCTTATAAAAAACACACTAGTTATATATGAGCATGGTACATTCAAAAGAAACTTTATACATTTCAGGAATTATTTTTCCTGTTTCAACTTATGACAGAATTGTGTTTCATTCAACCATCCTGTCTCAAAGTATATTTTAAAGGTAAACAGTTGTATTTAAGGTGAGAGATATAGAGGTGTTCAAGAAGGTTTGACAGTATATTTAAAATCCAAAATATACCCTATAATTTTTTTCAGGGAGCAGATCTGGCCTTGAGCCTCAGGTTCCCTACCTCCATTCTATGAAGACATCTTAGTTCCCAACCATCCATCCCTTACTCACATGGACAGCTGACAAGAAAGGCAGCTGCAGCAAGCCTTCAGAGAAGCCATCGCTCAAGGCCAACAAGAAGGACATCTTCTGCCCAAACAACTCCTCCATGGCAGTACGGAGGTGCTTGTAGATGCTACAGTATCGCTCCACAAAGTCAGGGGCCTGCCAAGAGGACTTCAAGAACTGTTTCACCTGGAACCGAAACATATGTAGTATTTTAAAATCATAACCTTTCTATCCAGTTCAGTGGAACCAAACTCATAGTACCCTTTTGCAGTGCCAAATCTTTTTTTCATGCAAGACCGATTTTTTTACAGCTGATTGCTATTTTGGAATGTTTTGCCAACATATCTAATTTTCTATCTTTCCAGAACCCCAAAGACCTAAGTAATGCACTGGGTTTTCATTTCACAATAAAAATGGACAACAGAGCCTAAAGCAGACAGACACTTTTCCTTTGAGAATTTGGTGTCCAACCGGGCTTTCTTGAAGTCTCTGGATCCTGATGTAGAGTCCTCCTAAGGACACCTTCACTTTCAACAGCACACACACACACACACACACACACACACACACACACACACACACGCATTATAAATAAACATGAAATATACATCAATTGCTTGACTGTATAATGTCAGTGCAAAGCCCAGTTTGCATCAGCAGATGCAAAAGTCCTGTACCACATCACCCTTCTTGATGTATAGAGTCACACTCTATGAGACCACACTTGGTAAGGCCACACTTGGAATACTGCATTCAGTTTTGGTCGCCACAATCTAAAAAAGATGTTGAGACTTTAGAAAGAGTGCAGGGAAGAGCAACAAAGATAATTAGGGGACTGGAGGCTAAAATGTATAAAGAACACTTGCAGGAATTGGGTATGTCTAGTTTAATTAAAAGAAGGACGAGGGGTGACATGGTAGCAGTGTTCCAATATTTGAGGGGCTGCCAAAAGAAGAGGGAGTCAAGGTATTCTCCAAAGCACCTGAAGGTAGGACAAGAAGCAATGGATGGAAACTAAATAAGGAGAGAAGCAACCTAGAACTAAGGAGAAACTTCCTGACAATTAGAACAATTAACCAGTGAACAACCTGCCTCCAGAAGTTGTGAATGCTCCAACACTGAAAGTTTTTAAGAAGAGATTGGACAGCCATTTGTCTGAAATGCTTTAGGGCTTCCTGCCTGAGCAGGGGGTTGGACCAGAAGGCCTCCAAGGTCCCTTCTAACTCTTATTCTGTTCTGTTCTTGTTGCTGAACATCAACTTTCAGCTACTCTTACCTGTTGCTGCACAACATCTTTCCAGCACTGTGTGATGCCTATCAAACTGGTGGATTTTTTCATTGTGACTTTTAGAGTTCCTGATCTCAACTCCTTATTCTTGGCATTCTTCCTATCTGCAAAGGGAAATTTATACAGCATTTAGGAAGGCTTCTGGGACAGAGAAGCAATAGACAGTCAAGTAACACTCTCCAATTTTCTGAGTCCTTTAAAGTTTTCCCCTGATCAAGAATGACTTGCTACTCCTCCATCGCACCACAGTCCTTCTCTAATGACCAGACAACATATTCATGGAATTCCCATCTTCATTATCATCCCTCTCTTAGCTTTGTGAGGACCATCTGCCCATTTTATACTTTTATTTGTCCCATGGAAGAGGACTCACTGCATTGAATAGGAGACTTAAGTTCTTCAGGTTCAGGGCCACTGGGATCCCAATGTACCAGCAGATGGCTCAGACGCCGAACACGGGAATTAAAGGTAATCGTCTGGCTTGTGGCTGCCTCCAGGTTTTCCAAGTATTGGCTTAGGAGCCAAGACATGGGGCTGGTACCATTGGGGCCTAGAAAACCAGAAAAAGAAAAAGAAAAGAACAATCCACAAGATTGCCGAGAAAGAAGAAGAGCAAAGGCTGCCAAGACTTGTGATTGGAGAGGAGGCCATACCTGGAGAACTGATTCTCTGCACCAAGGGGGTGATCAGAGCCTCCCAACAGGTCTTGCCTAGAAACTGGGCAGCCTCGTCATCAGGAAGGAAATGAATGGCAAATAGTTCCTCATGGCCCAAAGCATTGTTCAACCTGCATTCGGAAAGGGGTGCAGACTGAGCTTTTTATTTTGGGGGGGGGGGAAAACAAGAATGAGTACATATAGATACAGTATAGCAAGTAAATGGGTATGATAAGGAGGACAGGAGTTTGGACAATATGATGAATATTAATAAACAGGATAAGGAGAGGCAAAGATATCCCGAGAATAGTGATGCTCTCCCACTAAGCAGTTTGTGATCTAGGAAAGTGCTCTGAGACAGAGTCTTTGCTGACTCCCAGGCCAGCTCCCCACCTCCAAAGGACAAAATACTTCCATTAGGAAAGGCCTGACCTGTTAAAAAGTTGCAGCAACTGTATCTGATCTGCTGAAATTTCTTGGCACCAAGTGTGTGCTTTGGTAACGTAGAAGAGGTGCGTGCGCTGGCACAGCTGCTCCCTGAAGATGGGCCAGAAAGTGGGTTTGGGGCCCGTTACTTCGATGCCACGCACACGTGTGTCAATGCCACTCTGTGAATAACATGCGGTACTGTTCTAAGTCAGACTTCCAACCTGGCATACTCCACGTGCATCATGTCTGCTTCCTTCCCAACTAGACAGTTGCTCTTACTGTAGGAACAGAAGGAAAGCACATCTGCCTACCTGCTGGCAACGCTTAATCTTGATCTGTATGATAGGCCAGAAGTGGGTCATGTTCTCCAATAGGATCACTCTGGTAGATAAAGGTGGGACATTTACCTTTGTGGAGGAAAAAAAAGGATGTCAACTGTGTAAATGAAACTTTGATGATGATATGGTGAAAATTCCTATTCTTCAGGTAGAAAAAAAAGAACAAGAATCCAATTCCTGACTGAAATGGTATGAACAAAATGTCCATTCACAAAAGCCCTTAACAAACAGGCCTTTCAGAGTAAAAAAACAAAAAGTCAGTTTCTACGACAGAAATTTGAAGAGACCACAAAAATCTGAGGTTGTAAAATGATATGGCATCAGGGGCATTTCTACAAACACAACATTCTGAACATGTCCCAATGTATCTGAATACCCCCAATAAGCTGGTTAAATAAAAATTCAAGGCCATAGAAATGCAAGCTGACTGATCATCAATAAGCAGAATGCTTTCTGTATAGAATTTTAAAGCATCTATATAAATTGTATTTAAAAGAATTACATCTGAAGTTAAATGAGCAGTGAGGTGGGCATGTTTACTGAAGACAACAAATTATTTTATCGGAAGGAACGAAATTTCAAACTCCAGTCTCTTCAAACTTAAGAGTACAGATTTCAAAGTAATAAATGTGATTCCTTGTGTCAGACTTCACAGTAGGACACAGCAGTGAATCCGAGCTCTTCACGCTCTTAGTCAACGGTTGGTTTATTTTGGTAGAAGATTTTCTGTCTTGATTTGACTAAAGTAAAATCTATTCTACAGACTGGAATAAACATGATATACAATATGATTTGCCTTACAACATGTGCAAGGAAATCAGAGTTTATCTATACAAAAGTGGTTTTTTATTTTGAAAAGGCAACTGGACTGATTTTTCTGAGGGAAAAATGATGACCTGGATGACTGAGAATCTTCATAGCTTTTCTATATGATTGCGCTCCAGAGTTTATAATGTAGATGTTTTTCTTGCCCTCACAAATTAAAGGATATTTGATTGTGGTAGAGCTGGACTTGGGAGACAGCCGAACTGTTTTAAAGACTGATTCTCTGTACCTGGAAATGGCTGGTTCTTGCTTTCTCTCATCTTAGCCCTTACATGGTGGGAACAACTGTAGAATGATGGCTGAACATTCTAGACTTGTATAACTATTAATGATATCTGAGTGAATGGTTAATATCCAAAAATGGCATCATGAGATAGAGTGAACAGTTTAATGGCAACATCAATTCAGCACACATAAAAGCAAATCTTTTGTGCTGGAAATAATTAAAACTATGACTCCCTATAAATGCATAATCTAACTACCCTTAAAAACTGGTCTGATTGTATCCCTCCGAAGAGTGTAACACACAAAGAATTAACTAAAATGGTAAATGAACTAGGAAGGAAGGGGACAACTTATAACAAAATAGTAGGTTAAGGACAAAAATGGAGACAACAAACACTATATATACTCAAATTCAGGATCTTCATTATAAATGATTCAGGTCAGATAACAGGAAGGATTTACACAAGAAATTGCTACTGCACATGATTTTGAAGGGGGATTAGACAAATCTACAGAGGATAAAGTTGCCATTAACAAAGGCAGTGGCAATTTGCTTTTTTACCAGTTGCTGGGAAACATGAACTGAAAGATGCTGGGCTTTCACATCCTGTTTGTTGGCTTTCTCCTGGCAGCCAGTTGGCCATTTGGGACAAGGTAAGTCTATGTCTGATCCGAAGGGACTCTGTTCACACATCCTGCTAATCTCTCAGGGTGTATTTAAAACAATTAAATAGATTCATTTTTTGCCATTAAGCCTCACTGCCAAAGCCAAGGTTCTTTTCCATAAACAACCTTGAATAACTCACAGTAATTACTAACTTGTAGAAGAGAAAAAACAAGCTGCCCCATGCAAAGCAGCTGAGGGGGTATAGAAGTCCACCTGGAGAAATAGCAGGAGCATTTCTCACAGCTTTCTCTTTTCTCCACATACAGAGATAGAGAAGTCAACATTTTATACTTGAATATTCAGAAGAAAATGTATTCTCACTTCACTTACATATATATGTTCTCTTTGCTTCTCCTTCCTCTGGGAAACTTGTATTTCAGCTGAGTTGCTACTTTAATAATAGTTTGTTGACCAGGCCTTAATAAATGAATTTACACATTGCATAAAGAATAAATCATGGTTGCCATACTATCTGGAGTTATATAAAAACCAAGGCAAACCTAAGTGAATCATACTGGAGCACAGCATCACAAATGAAGATGCTGTCACAAGTCTGACAGTCATTTGGGGTTTTTTAGCATTTTTTAAAAAATGCTAGCTGTGGTCATGAGACAAAGACACTACAAATCTTTTATCTACCCAAGCAATGGTCCTCCATCATCTGCTATTTGTTCCTGTTAAGTGGCTGGTAGGTTAGTCCAAGACTGGGAAAATACAAATTCAGATCTCTGCATTATCTTTAATGCCTGACTTCTGACAAATCATTACTAGTAATTTACACTGTTACAGAATTATACCTTCCATCTTGGACATTTAGATTAGATGCCTGAACACGATTCTGGTGGCTCACAATTTAAGACAAACAACAATATACAAAATATTTTATATAAAATATTCCCAAAACCATCAACCATTCAGACAACACATTCTAAATCCGAAAGCTCATCTAACAACGTTTTGGTTCTACTCAGGACCCAGAAGAACCAGCAGGGTTTTTAAGCGTTTTGGAACACCATGAGAATGGGAGTCACATGAATCTCTTGAGAGGATCTCATTCCAGAGCACAGATGCCATGAGAGAGATGGGTTATGCCCTGGGTCCCAATAAATGACATTGTTTAGTTGAAAGTATCCATAGCAGCCAATTCTGCTAGCTCTTACCAGGTAGGTAGAAGTCATGAAGAGACTGGCTGTCCCTCAGAGACTCAGGATATAAAATGATATAATGATAATACAAGCTATATGGGATATCAATATAATGAATGAGTGACTGAATCAGGGACTTTCTGCAAACTTCATGCAAAACTATAGTCTTTCTCCTGAAAAGTATTCCTCATGGTGGAATCCTTTCAAGGCAGGCTGAAGAGCTTTGTGCTCTTCCCTCTGGTTGCTGAAGTGTAGGTTATTGAGGAAGTCCATAGGACTGACCATATTGAGCTTGGTGTTGATGCTGGAAGTGCTCTCTCCTGCCATAACTATAATCCGGGCTGGCATGTAACTCGAATCCTCGCTGGCCACCAATAGTGACATCTGCCTGTACAAGCCAAGAATAACAGTTTCAGAGTAAGAACCAAGCCCCAACTAAAAAGCCCATCTTTCTCACAATATAAAGACACACCTTTTTTATTCTATGTGAGCTACCCATTTGCCCAGGTCTGGCTGAACAAGAAAATCATAATTCCATTTGGCATCTGAGCCATCATGATATTTTTGTTGATCCAGGACTTATTAGATATTTCAGTAAGTTATTTGTGCGTACTCTTTCCTCTTTTAAGGGACATAGGAAATATGACAGAAGTGATTTTTCCTTATTATGCCCATAAGTTACAGTTCAGGGGCAGAAAAAAACTCTTTGCCCCAAATTTCCTTGTTTCAAAGCCTTCTTCCTGGTTCATGCAAACACTCACTGGATTAGGACACCATGATGCATGTAAACATTGATGTAGTGGGAGCCAGTGGTGCCATTTGACTCCCAGTAGGTTTTGACATTTCCATCCACTAACGTGTTGGCCTGTTGAGAATTGGAGGAGACTTCTACTTTCTCCCAACACTTGTCTTCCTTTACTTCAGTGCTGCAGCCTATGCACAAAAGAAAATATTGAAGAAATCTAGGTGGGGGAGAAGCTAGAAGAACCTCTGAAGGAATGAGTTATCTAAAAACTCCAACACTAACAATATGCTCACCATGACAAAGATAATGCAGAAATACATCAAACAATGGAACTCTGATAGGCTGATGGCTATTCCTGTGTTCTTCTATCTGATTTAGAACCATCTGTAAAGTATGTTGGAGAGGAGACAAAAGAAAAAAAAGCCAAGATACAGAGTTGGCCAAACAACACAGCAGAGTAACATTGGAAAAAAGAATCCCGTATTTAGGCTGAGAGGCAATGCTTTCTGAATTATTGGACTTTCAGAAATATTGGACTTCACCTCCCTTCATTCCCAGCCAGCGCTGTCAACGATTGCACTGTATAAGAGCAGTAATCTGACTTATGTGAAAAGCATCCAGTTGGATAAGAGTTTCTGAAGGTCTGTGAGATTGCTTTAAATTGCCTTTGGATAAAAGTAAATCTGAGCACCATGTTACCAAGAAGCTATGAACCTCAACCTGCTCCCTGAAGTTAGACATTATCCACCAAAGAAGAAAAGATTCACCTGGATGCAGCCAGCCAGGACGCTGGCTGTCATCTTCTGATAGAGGCTAGCTGGCTTCTCACAGTTATTCATGAGGTCCCTCAGTTCTGTCACTAGAGAGAGGCTGGAGCTGTGTTTCTCCAAGACTTTGCTCAAGGCTTGCTGGATGCCAGAAGAGCACATTACAACAGCACAATCTTTGTTGTCAAAGGCCAGACGGTGCAAGAATTTAATGAACTCTTGAACAATCTGCAAACACAAAGCATGAATAGTTAGTCCCTGAAGGTTTTCTATATGGCTTTAGTGCCTCGTTCCCCAACTCATTCTTAGGGAATGGAATGCATTTGCTGTACTATACATCTTAGGCCCACTGTCCCTCAGAAAAGAAATCCTTGTAAGCAAAGGTAAGAAACCTGTGGCTTAACATAAGTTGCCCATTTTCAATGACCAGCAAGCATTAAGGGAGCTTTAGTTCAAGATATTACAAGCTCCAGACATCCGTTCTAAAGAGCAATTCATTACAAGGAGATTTTAAGGAATCAAGGCAGTAGAATTTTGAACAATATATTTTTTCTGCATTTTCTAAAAATACATTTACAGATCTTATCTGACTTCTACATTTCATTTAACTAAATAATTCTCTCTCAATTTTTTTTAACAATTGCCAGAATTGGCAAATATAAAACTTAACAAAAACCCATTTAAAATATAAAAGCAAAAACATACTGCAGGAGCAAAACAGAAGCAGAAAAGCAACTTCAGCAATAAATACAATAAAAGCAAACAAAGAGTACTAATTTTCAGCATATTAAAAAAATCACTGTTTGCAAAAGATTGGAACAAAGACAAAAAAACTGCAGGATGCATTTCACTTCTTTGGTGAAAAAGACATGCGTACAAATGCTTGGAATAACAAGCAGATAATGGTCTAATGATGAGACCATACCATAAATGTGGATTCTGGTTGGTACTCTTAGATTTCCACTGTCTCACCTCTTGATCATTTATGTGGCTGTTTATGGAAGACAAGCAAGGTTCAATGCATTTATGCCAGGGTACTACATCCTTCCATGAACTATCCAAACACTTGTTCAAAAGCCTGGATCAAAAAAGAAAAGTAGCTTCTTTTTGAAAAAGCACTTTGAAAATACTTATTAAAACAAAAGCGACTAATTCTTATACTAATCACCTTGTAATCTAACTGAAAAGTGCAAGTAGTCTTGTAGCCACCAAAAAGCATTTTTCTGTCTCCAGAAGTTTTAACTTTTTTTATATTCACATTGTATGTGGACATTTTTGCATTACTCTTCAGAATTGCAGAAGGTGGGAAAAGCAAAATTCAGGCAAATTTTACATTGGTTGGATGGGCTTGTTTTCCCTCCACCCTTTTGTTCATTTTCAGATTGTTTCAAAAGATTAATTTCCTCTATTCATGTTCTAAAATGGTTTGCATTTTGTAAAAGACATCCTTACCATATTTGCATGATGGAAGCAGCATTAATCTTTCCTGATAAATATAGGAAAGAATTTGATTACTCCTTCTGTAGATTCAAATTGTAGCCTAAATCAAAGTACTGCCAGTTCATTTGGAAAGCCCTCATGATACATTAATTTACCAAGTAACATAATTCTAAATGTGCTCACCAGCAAATGAACATACCTCATTCTCCTAACAATCCTAATATGGTAGTCCAGTCCTCAATTTCAATCAGCGTAGCCAAAGGTGTGGGAGTTGTAGTCCAACATCTGCAAGGCATCAAATCACCTTCCTTTCTGAAGAAAACTGTCAGGGTGAGAATACTAGACTAGATGGAATTTAAGATATCTTGTACTGAAAGGAGAGGTACCTGTGTTGCTGTAATTGTACTACAGTACAATTGTTGTTAGATTACAACTTCCATAATGTTTTACCATTGGCTATACTGGTTGACTTAATTACATCCAATAGCTGGAAGTCCACTTATTGTTCACTTCATCTCTAGGAATTCCAAATAGGAACGTATACACTTAAAACACATACATTACTACTGAGACATAGTAGCCTTACCTTAACATTCCCAGTTGTATCTCTTTTTCAGATTCCTGCTGTGTCAAGTCTTTCTGAATCAGCACATTTACCAGAAACTCATGACTAGTTTCCTCAAAAATGGTACCTTTGTCAGAGAGGCAGCATTGGAGCACCACTGCCATCTCCTTCCAAACACTGTTTGTCTGCAGACTACTCAGTAGCTTTGTGATGTTAATGTCATGAAGATTAAAGAAGGCTGCAGAATCTGGTTGGGGAGGTAAAACATTGGGAATACATAACTGAAATGCTTCCTGATTCTGCAGATGATCCTGCTGCTCTCCCCCACACCAAACAGGGAGTATGTTACTCTGAACAGGGCCACTGAGCAGCTACTGGTATAATTCAATAATCGCAGGGGAATAAAGACATTTTGCCCTTCCCTTATTGCCATGATATAGGCCCATGTATGGGCTTTCACTCATGTTTGGTTGGATTCACTCTTTGTCTTTCTTCACGGATACTCTAGGCATCGCTTCTTGCACTTCATCTTCTGGAGCTCCTTGAAGAACCAAGGAATTGGTGCACAGAGAGAGGCTGCAAAGAAGCAACCCAGTCCAGATCCTGTCTCCTGCCTATTCCAGGCTGCAATTAAAGCTTCAGATGAACTCTCTGGAACGAGCTGCCCCCAGAGATCCGGGTGATTCCGGATCTCCCCTCCTTCCGCCGCGCCCTCAAGACCTGGCTGTTTCAGCAGGCAGGACTGGCCTAGGGGTAATTTTAAATTGGTTTTAATTAAATTTTAGTAGTGAGGCCGATTCGAATATTTATTTTTAATTTATCTTAGATTTGTATTTTGTGTAATTGTTTTAACTGGCTGTAAGCCGCCCTGAGTCCTCCGGGAGAAGGGCGGGGTATAAATGAAATAAATCCTAAATCCTAAATCCTAAACTGCCTGACAGATCTTCAGGGAAAATCCAAAGCTCCCTCTGGAACCTAAATCAGACACATGGAGTGGGCCAATCTAACAAGAACTATCTCCCTGCATAGATAGTTGGTGTCAGCAAGTCAAAGAGCAACCAGAGTGATATGTCCATGGCAATGAACTGAGGTAATTTCTTCCAACATCACAGCACACTGCAATTGCCCTGAGACAAAAACTATGTTTAACATGCAACCTACAGTATGCATTGGACTCTCTATTATTTAAGACAATATTATTACTGATCTTCAAACAGATAAAAATACTGTTACCTTCTTGAAATACTCAAATATTATTTGCAGTAAGACAGTTTGTATTTTGAAGTCATAGCAATTCTTATTACATAATTACAACAATACTTCATTTACTTCACCAACCCCATTGCTTTTCCTACAATGGAATACCATCCATGTTTGTTTTGTCTGCCATTTTGAGTTTTTTTAAAATGTTTTTAATTGTTTTTAATAATTTGTAAACCATCCATAATTGCTAAGACTTGGGTGGCTATACATTTAATCTGTTATTGTTGTTATTAATGGAGTCTCTAAAATTGTAATCTGGAACAGCACTGGGGGAATGCCAATATAGCTAAGGCCACCTTCCTTATTTTTACTATATTTCATGCCCCATATGACTCTCCAATGGTCATAGGATGGAGGGGAGGTCTCAAGAAAGTGTGAAACACCATTATGATAAATTGGGCTTCATAACTGGCTAAATCAGATATGCCACACAATGTGTGAAGTGGGAAACCCGGCCCCAGTAGAGAATTTGCTTGACTGCTCATAACATGTTCTCAAAATTTGAAATGTGCTTTAAAATAATTGTTGCAAATTTTCAGTCTGCTCTAATACTATGCAAACACTACAGGAAACAAACTGAAGTTTATTTAGGATCTCTTTAACTCCATAAATCTAATAATATGAATTTGTAATGGGATATCCATTTTTATTGATTTGTTTTATTTATTAAATATGTTTGTCGACCATCTTACCCCAAGGTGACTCTGATATCAATTATTGTTATTTTTGTCATTTGCAGTTAATAATATGGAGCAAAAGTGGGAGGCACAGAATATTGTACATGAATACAAAGCATGTTTTATTGGCTGCTAATAGCCATGACTCCTGATATACCAAATCAAGTTCTAATAGCAAACTTGGCTATAAAATGGAAACCTATATGCTGAATTATTTCATTTTCAAATTCAAAGCATAGATACAGGATATTACAGAGAGAGAGTTAGGAATCCTCAATGCAACTAAGTTCTGTAGTTCCTTTAATCAATTAATATGTCTGATACTGCCTGGCACTTACCTTTGACTTTCTCATCCAATGTGTCTGGGAAAGAGAGCCCTTCTATTTTGAGAAATTTGTTAATCAGTCGTCTGTCACTTTCCTTCACTGCAAATGGAGTTGGAGAAGACACTCTATCAGGCAGTGTATCTTCTTTTGTTTTTTTGGACTTCATGGGTTCAGAAAAGTCATCATCATAATTTTCAGAGAGCATTTCTGCATTTGTGCAGTTCTGCTCTGTACCTCCCTTGCTAAAGAAATATTTGAAGTAGACATGGGAGTTCTGCAGTTCAATTTGTGTGGTGCCCTGACAATGCTTGTTCAGGAGCTGCAGTATTTTCTGAGCCAATTCTACTGAAACACACATCTGGATCAGATCCTCTTCATTTAGTCTTGATAGCTTGAAATGCAGAGAGAATAAAAGCACAGAGTTCCTATTGCAGTTTATTACCAGTTACCTAGAACCACACCAAAACCCCACAAAATCAGAAGATTAGGAGAGTTCACTAATCCAGCTTGGAAATTTGGCCCTTGAGTCTAGAACACCAAAGTTATCTATGATTTGCTAATTTGGATGATTGTTAGGGGTAGACAACCTAATATCACCAGTTATTTTGAACTTCAATTTCTATCATCCTCAAGCAAATTGTCAACTTTTGGACCGATGCATTGTTCACAGAACAGGTTTGAAGGTGATCTGAAAATTGGATCTTTAGAAAATTCAAAACTGTATGCAAATAATTTGGAGCTGGTGTCTTAAATTAGCTTCACTGACTCTGGATCTATCCACATAGATCAGTTTGTTTTGGGCTTATTTTAAATATTAAAGATTTAGGGCCCAGTATCTATCTTTCTGATTACAGAATGTAACCCAAGGCATACATAAATACTTTTCAGATATGATGCTGCTGACCTTGTAATACAATTACTTTTTTGCAACAATGCAGCCTAGACAGTGTATGAGTCCTCACATAAAATTAAGCAACTAGGAATTAACTTAAAATCCGTTTCTGATTGGATTGATTCTTCTTGGTTCTTTACCTTCTGATTCTGCTGGATAAAATGAACAACTTCGTGATGTTTATGGAATTCAAGCTTGTTAATGAAGAAAAGTAGCTCCCACCATTCAGCTTGACTTAGAGTCCCACAGTCCTTATTCAAATGATCCGCAAGGCATGGTAAAGAATATAATTCGTTGAGCGATTGGCAATATCTTGGCTGGTTAACTGGAAATAAACAAAAATGGCTATATGGTTTCTTGAGACACTCAAGTTAAATGGTGCCATCAAAACAGAAATAATAGGACTTTCTGCTACATGTTAATAGGCAACTTAATTCTATAGCTATTGCAACTTAAATTCATACATGTCTACTTAAAAGTAAGCCTCATTATACTCAATCTGATTTACTCCTACATAGGTATATGTAGATATTCTTACATAGGTATGTAGGTATTCCTACATATTATCCTATTAATGTACAATTAGAGTAGCAGCTAAGAAAATAATGAAAAATGAGAAACCAACATAAATAATTAGTAAATATATTCATATTTTAATAATCAATTACATAAATGAATTCAGCTGGGCATACCTCATCCATATCCTGATTGCAAAAACATTCAAATAGTAAATATATCAAATGTATATATCCCTAACAGATTAAAAAGTAAATATATAGAAAAACAATACACTGTTAAATAAGTTGAGACTGAACTTTGCCAATATAAGGTAAGTTCATTGAACTTAATAACTAAGTCTAAACTATTCCCTAAAGTTAATAATATTATGCCATTAACTTTCTGGTCAATATTAAATTAACTTTACTGTGATAGCTCAAACAAAGAAAATACATTTTCTCATCTCAACAGGGAATGGAGGCTGGGGAGATCATGGATTTCCTCACAGCTTCAGGTAAAAGTGTGGCATGCTTGGGGAAAAAAGGAAAACCAGAAAGAAAGGAAAAATATTTTTTTTTCTTTTTTTGCTTCAGAAACCCTGATGTTTTGGGAAAAACAGATAAATACAGTCTAGCCTAAATGTCTAGCTTTAGAATTTTAATTTATGACATAGTTGTTGGTGCTATGTTAAGACACATTGTTTTTATCTTTATATATAACATTGAAAATTCTGTTTAAAGATTCTGTTTTCACTGTTATTCATTTATTTTAAATTTGGTCTGTTTCCCAAGGAAAGGCTGAAATCTCATCATACACCTCCAAGAAAGATGCCCAGATATCTGTGATAGGAAAATTGTTCCATTTTTAACAACTATTTTTTACTTGCCCAAATGCAGAATGTTAAAACCTTACTTCTCTCACACAGGCGTGTGAATGCCAGGCAAAATATCCCCTACAAAAATTGGAGGAAGCAGTAGAAAAAAGCTGCTGTGCGAAAACAGAAAGTGGGGCCAGGAAAGGACAATCTTCTAGTGCATCATATACATGTTTTGGAAAGTCTAAATAATTTGAGTTAGCAGTATTGCATTCATACTACAGGTAGACCTTCCTTAACGACCAGTAACTTAGCAACCATTCAAAATTACAACAAAACTACTTCCAACTCCATTTTGAAGTTATGGATGCTGCAGCATTTCTGTAATTATTTGCTCTTATGACTGATCACAGGAATGCTGCAGTGGACCCCCATCTTTCTTCCTCCCATCCTGCCTCACTGGGTAGGCCTTGGTCCTGTACCCCACACTCCCATCTCCCATCGCATACTTACCTTTTGAAGATCTCAGGACCCTACAATGGGAAAACAGACCATAGGATGTAGGGGGAGAGGCTTAGGAAGCCCAGGACATGTGGGCCTAGGCCTGTACTAGATCTTCCAGGGCCTTCCCCCATCCCTGCAGCACCCTATATTTAACAATTTGCACATATGTTTAATGACTGCATCAGGGAGAACAAGGGTTGGGGGTTGTTAAGCAAGGGTCTCGCTTAACAGCTGTCACACTTACAACCGTAATAGATTGAGTCCTATATCAATGACTACCTGTATAGATTGCTTGGACTTAAATACTTAAGTCTCTTCAGAGTTGAAAACAGCATTGAATCTAAGTTTTAAGTAATTTGAATTAAATCATTCCTGATGATGATGATGATGATGATGATGATGATGATGATGATGATGATGATGATTATTATTATTGGACAACTACTCTAGGCAGCGATAGAATGATGCTATAGATTCCAGAGTTGTTTTCCATAACATTCTAGTACATTAGCCCAGAAATCAAAACTATATAAACTGCTTCGTCTTTACTTCCTCTTTTACTGTTTATGGTGTTGAGGGATATATAAACTGCATCAATTGTAAACTGTATCTAAGTGCTACATGCAATCAGGGAGGAAAGAACCTACAGTTTAGGCACAATCTGAAAGCTAATTATATCCCTTAATCATATCACATCACAAGCAGCATCTCTCCATATCTGATTCTTATATCAGATATCTGAATCCCATCCAGTAAAAACAGTTCTGAATGTCCTGAGATTTGTGAGAGGAGGTTTGCTGAAGGGTCAAGACTGACTGTAACCAAATTTTAGCTTCTTCCTCACCTTCAATATATTGACTTGTGAACTTCACCTGCTCAGAAATAGGCAAAAAGAAGTACAGGGACTTAGGAAGCTGATCTAATTCATATTGTTTACTTGAACTGGAAGAAGCTCTTCGGGACTTAAGATACAGAAAATTCTGCCGTATCATCTGTAATATGCTCCCTTTTTAATTTGCACATATATACTGCACTAGCTATATGCAAAACACATGTTCTATCACTAAACCATGATTCCTCCCAATAATGGGAAACTGACAAACATTATTTCAGCATTTTATCTGCTCGAACAGCAAAGTAAGCACTGAGAAAACTGAAATCAGTCTACAGGCTTGGCATAAACAACAAAACTGAAGCTCAGAAGCAGAGAACACTCTTAAAGTAACTTAGCAATTTAGTGAAAATATATCTAAAAGTCCAGCAGAATCTTACCTGTGTTTTGTCTCAGAAGCTCTCTAAGAGTTGATACCTTTTCCTGGGCTTTTTGCTCTGCATTTCTCGATGAATCAACAATCTCAATCATGTGCCAATGAACCCAGTATGTACGGCCCAGAGACTCCCAATAAACCTGGAAAATTATAGAGCTATAAAATGCCATGAATCTGGAAATTACTGCATTGTTTTCAGGTGCTTAGAGATCACTTTCTTTATAATCTGGTCTAGAATCATAAACTCCACAACACAAAAAATTCTTCCCCTATAAACAAGGGCTAATATACCAAGTGCCTTACAGAACAATTATCAACCAAGCTACAAGGTTTTTTTGAATATAGATGCACTTCTTATGCCAATCTAGGAAACACAATAGTTTGAGAAACTCAATAGGATTCCTAAAAATCAATTTTTTGTATCACTCCTTCAACATCATTTCATCACTCGGATGTCCCAACCCTCCCACACACTGTAGTACCTGCACAGGTGGTGTGCCGTTATTGCTGTGAAGAAACACGCCCTCATCTCCTGCACTGACTTTCTCATAATTCTCCAGCATACGCACATGCATGCCACGCACCAACTTCTCTCGCAAATATTCCACGTAGTCCTTGCGACTAGGAAAGGCTGAATGCAACTTGAAAGCACTGTGTTCTTTCTGGGGCACCTCTGCAGCTGATGGGATGGTGACGCGGGCTGGAATTTGAGGTTGGAAGATTGACTGACATCGTTTCTTTTGTCTGAGTGAGCAAAGCTCTTGATTCTGATTCCATCCCATAACCTGGATTAACTCTGAAATTAAGTGGGCCATAGCCATGCTGAAGTCAAATTCACATTGCGTTCTCTTTTTTCTCTTTGAATCTGCACTGGAGGGCATGCAATGTTCCTGTTCATCTCCCCACTCTGTGATGTTGAGTTTGTCCATGAGAGAGGTAGCACATAGATAACGCTTTACTAGAGAAAACAGCAGTTTCCCTGGAATCTGAAACAAGAAGATCATGTCCATTGCCAATAATTCTGCTACTGCCTCAAGGCAGCATAGCTTACAGCTCACCCCATAAAAACTTTCACCTTTTAATATGTATCTGACATATTCTTGAGTTCTAGTAGCTTTCCAATCAAATGTCATCATGGCTTGTACAGTCTTTTTATCCCTCCATTTATTAATTTTATTCACTATAATTTAGGGAGGACATATAGGGGATAGGGTACTAAAAGGAGAACAGTTCAGGATTTCCCTAACTGTAGCTATTTGACATCAACAAGATGCTAGCAGCAGAAGTAAGTGTCAGCCATTTATTTTCATCAGATACCAGTCATTATAGGTAATGACAAATGCAGGTGATAAAATTGTCATTTCTTTATGCAGAACTGACTTACTTAACCACATTAAGCTTGCCAATTGAAAGGCAAGATAAGTACAGCTTCTATATTTATCACCAGCTGCTGAAGATTACATTCTCTTTACAACTGACTCGGAATTCTTTATAATTCAGGTTTTAAATTGAAAATGCCTCATCAGTAAAGAGGACCACACTCCTTTGCCAAAAACCTTTTGTCAATTAGTACCTGAGGAAGAGGAATCCCTTCAAAAGATATGTAATGCTCTTCAGAGGATGTTGTTTCTGCAAACAGCTCAAGAAGGGTATAGCGACTATCGAAGTCCATTTGTTGTTCAATACCATCTTGCTGGCTCAGGGACAGAAGAACATAGGCTCTGCTTCCTAAAAACAAAACAAAAAACGTATATGTTCTTTCCTTACTTGTTCTCCAACAATCTTAAAAATCTAATCCCATAACAATCTTAAAAATCTAATCCCAAAAAAGCAACTTTTTTTAGCTCACAAAGAGCTATGAACAAAGCCTCATAGTATAAACAAATTTAAACAGAATGACCTGCAAGTTAGGACAGAATAACAGAATAATAAAGTTGGAAGGAACCTTGGAAGTCTTCTAGTCCAACCCACTGCTCAAGCAGGAGATCTCATACCATTTGAGACAAATGGTTATCCAATCTCTTCTTTAAAACCTCCAGTGTTGGAGCACCCACAACTTCTGAAGGCAACTCATTCCACTGATTAATTGTTCTGTCAAAATTCTCCTTATTTCTAGCTTGGTTTTCTCTTTGATTAGTTTCCATCCATTGCTTCTTGTTCTGCCTTCAGGTGCTTTGTAGAATAGCTTGACTCCCTCTTCTTTGTGGCAACTCCTGAGATAGTGGAACACTGCTATCAAGCCACCCATAGCCCTTCCTTTCATTAATTTAGATATACCCAATTCCTGCAACCGTTCTTCATATTTTTTAGCCTCCAGCCCCCTAATCATCTTTATTACTCTTCTCTGCACTCTTTCTAGAGTCTCAACATCTTTTTTTATATTGTGAAAACCAAAACTGGATGCAATATTCCAAGTGTGATCTTACCAAGCTATTATAAAGTGATACTAACACTTCACAAGATCTTGATTCTGTCCCTCTGTTAATGCAGTCTAGGATTGCTTTGGCTTTTTTGGCAGCTGAAGCACACTGCTGGCTCACATTTAAGTGATTGTCCACTCAGAGTCCAAGATCCCACTGATACCATTGGGATTATAAATCAGCACTTCAATAACTGGCATGTCTTTATCAGCATAAAGAATTTTAGTAATTCTGTTCAAGCAATGGAGACACTTTTATCCACCCCTTCTATAGATTCAAGAAGCTGTCAGGGTCAATGCTGTTGATTCTTTGGGAAGATGCTTCTGATCAATTTGGCTGCACAGAGAGTTAGTAATCTCATACCTAAACTATTAATAGTCTTGTAGAGTTCTCATGCCCCAGTACAACAGCAGCTCACCTTGTATAAAAATATTGACAGGGACATGAGAATTCAGAAAAGTCTCCCACACCTTACTTTCTTTAGGAGTCCAATCATTACAATCACCAGTTTGGAATTTAGAAACCTGCCCAAACATAAAAATAATCTGCAACCGTGGCAAAAAGGCATTCCTTTACATCAAAACAAAAGTGTACAATTTATTGAATGATTTTAAAAAGACTCCCCATATATGAGAAAATGTATAACATTTATCAACTTATACTTGTAATACATTTATAACAATTAAGAGTGCTTTACTTGCTCTGAACCAGTTTTTTTTAATTAAAACAAGTTAACATTTGTAGAATGTTAATCTGAATTGACTACCAGCTTTATTTTATGAATACATCATAACTGAAAACTTTGATGTATGTTCATCATTATAAACTATAAATTAAATTTTAATAGGCAACAGTTACTCAAAACTTGCCCCAATGGCTTAATCATCACTCTGAAGTATTTATCAACATCTAATGAGTTAAGATTTCTAATTCTATTAAGGATGGGATTGGAGGTCTACTCAAATCACTAAGAATAATGGGTTAGAACTAACTTTCTGTATACAGTATTTCTGTATATCTAAATACTTGTAATACCTTAGGCAGGAATTTTATATTAGTTGTGGGCGTCTCCTAAGATGTCATACCTGCATCATGACAAGCCAAAGCTCTCAGCATCTTCCCAGCACTACAACGGATATGCTTCTCCTCGTTACACAGCATCTTCATCAGAAGAGTAAGGGCCCCAGTCTCCTTGAACATGGTCATCAATGAGCCAATGCTGGCATAGGCACTGAGTATATGGATGGTATTCAGTATGGATGACTGTGGAACAGGGGTGCTTGCTAGTTGCCAGGAAGCTCGCTGCACCAGGTTCCTGACATCAGCTTTCATCTCTGCAAGAGAGGCTTCGTCTAAAGTGTCTTCAGGAGGAAATAAATTAGATACATTCTGTTCCACCACTTGTTCCTTGGGCTTCCTCTTGCCTAGTAATGTTGGACAGTTGGCATATATATCCTCTGCCGACATCCACATCAAAATGGTCTGTTTTTTGCCTTCAGCTGAAGGGGCTTCAACACTGTTTCCTTTACCGTTATCTAAGCAAAGTACGTTCCAGCGGATCAAGTACTCAGTACAGCCATTGTGACCACAGCGTTGCCGAATTAACTCCTCAGGACAGGCTTGATGTTTGGGTCCAAGATGCACCAGTTCATCCCCATTTTGCCTTTTAATCGTCATGACAGGGAATGTATCTGCTAGTGTGATAAAAGGCAGGTTATGTCATGAAGGAAAACCAAAAAGACTTTCAGTCTAAAAGCCCGGAGAATGCACAAATACCTGCTTTGGGATAACTATAGATTGCTATAAGAACACTTATCCAGCAAAGGGAAATTTCATCAAGTAATTATTTCTATTGGAATCAAAATAGACTTTTCAATCAAGTCAATAGGCACAGCAACCTAGGGCCAGTATTCTTTTTAATCATAAAGACTAAAATGTATAAATTTTACTTATTCGATGCTTTTCAATAAATAACAGGCAAGATATACATACAATTTGAACAACAAACCAATGGTATAGTGTGGACTTCTAGTTTTGCATTGCGGTATGACAGACACAGGAAGGCAGGGCTCTGCCTTCCGTGCCCAATTTTGTCCTGCTGGGGGCCATGAAAAGGGCCTAAAGTCGCCCCGAAGAGGTGATGAAGAAGGAGGGGTGCCTTGTAGATCATGGAGAGACGGCAGTCATTCCGTTTGATCCAAGGAAAGCCCTCTAAACCGGCAGGGGAAAGACTGGCCACACCTCTATGGCTGGCCTTACCTGCTGATAACCGAAGAACAGAAGCTTTGATTAGCACATCATAAACAGTATGTTTGGAACTGGGTGAGAACATTGATCCTTTCTTTACTATTTTACAACTGAATTTCTTGGGAAAGGCTCCCAAGAAGCTAAAAACCTCCGGATGCGAGTGGAAGCGGCGTTTTAAATTTTTTATGGGGGACAGAAATAACAATACTAAAGTGAAAGTTATACAAAGCTATAGTTTTGATAAATTTAAAACTGAGATAATTTTTCTCTTTGGAAAAAAAATAATTGAGATGAAATATAAGAAAAATAAGAAATCAACCCTTTGTTTTAAGAGTGGAAAATGGACTTTGTATGACATCTAGTGGTGGATTTGAGTATAGCACTATAACTAGCCCTTTGGCTGCTTGGTGACTTTCAACTGAAGGGAGAATAGCTGGCAATAAAGGAAAATATTTTGGCATATTTATCATCCTGACCTTCTTGGACTACAAATACCTACTGAGCTTGGACTTTTAATCTCAAGAGCTAGTGGGAGAGAAAGAAAAATCTGACTTTTGAATACGTTTGGCTGCAGGGAGGTTGAACATTTTGAACACTGGGAACATTGTGGATTACAACCTTGCCTGACTGATAATTTTCAGGATACTTGAGACAAAGGATTACTATAAAATACTGCCATTAGGACTGGATTATACAGGCTACATATAAAGACTAGAAAACTAGAGGAAACTTAGTTCCACTCTTACTGAGACTGGTGACACTAGAAGATTTCTAGGAATAATGCCTCAAGAAAAAACAAATACCTTTCAGAAGGAAATATTCTCCAGCTAATTCATCAAACAATTGTTGCACACAAAGAGGACATAAAAAGAAACCATAATGAGACTAAAAATAACCTAGATGATATAAATGACCAAATCTCCAAATTGAAGCTACAACTGGAAAGTTCCTAGATAACAACTACAAAGTATGAACAAATATACCAGAAACCAGAGGATTAAGCAGAAGAAATGGACTTAGAGATGGAGGAGATAGAAGAAGGGAAATATGGACTGCCATATACAAATAAAATACTGCAAGACCTACCTATAACAATGAAAATACAAACGACCCCTTATTCCTTTCTCCAAAATACACTTGATGACAAGGAAGAAGATTCTAGAAAATGGAACATAGGCGGGCAGGGAAAATGTTTAGGGAATGTGGATGGGCGGAGTTCCCCCCCCCCAAATACTCTACCTAAATTGTCTTCCTCATGCCAAGCAGCTTTCACAAACATAGAAAGAACATTTTTGGGCAATTTAATTGCCTTGGCCTGGAAAGCTACTTGGCAAAGAAAGAAAGCGAGAGTTAGATTTAAAAAATAGAGGATTTGATCTATCAGAGGAGGCTCTATCTGTTTAATATACCTGTTTGAATATGATTAAAAGAATGGATGACCCTTAGATATAACTAGATTTTTATAATGGAAGATATGATTTAGAATTAAAATAGCATTTTTTTTTATTCTTCTTTTGATATGGGAAATTTGAAAATAAGAGGAGGGTTGGTATGAGTAATTTTTTTTAGCTATATAAATGTAATATTGAGAAAATCATAAATGACAAAGATACTTTAAATATTGATGGGAAATTAAACTTTAATAAGAGCATGAAAAACAGGATATTGACATGAACTGATATTATTTGTATATTAGTAAAATATGATGAAGATGTCTATATCTAATTTTATATACATCAATAGTACCAAGAATTGTAATTGTCTAATGAGGGGAAAATGGAAAAAATATGGGGAAGAAAGGAGGATCAAGGAAAAAATACTGGATTGTGTAGTACTGAATAGATTTATATTGAAGAAGTTAATGTTAAATATGTAAACCCAGACGTGTTGTTTACTAAGCTCTAAAGATTGTAATTTTAAAAAAATTAATAAAACTTATTAAAAAAGACAAACCAATGGTATAGTGTGAATGGTAAAATTTAATAACTTTGATGAGATACAAGAGACAATCAACAAGCTAATAAAGATATCATTTACTATTTACAAATGCAAGAGTCTGAAAACTTCCTGTTTAGAACACATTTTTGGCAATCTTCCTCCACTCATCGCAGAGAATTCTGCAGTTGTTGCAGGGTGCTGTCCAGCCTACTGGCAATCAAGATCCAGATATGGATGATATAATATTACAGCAGTACCATTTTTAAAGTTGTTTAAAACAGAGGGCATAAAAGGATGCATAAAAATAAGGTAAAAGCTTGGTGTTCTCTAATCGAAGAGAGGACGTTGGCAGAAAATAGCTTTCTTTACTCTAGATGAGAGATTCTTTTTTATAGTACATTTATTATAAAGAAATTGTGCATCTAGATCAGTGATGGCGAACCTTTTAGAGACCGAGTGCCCAAACTGCGACCCAAAACCCACTTACGCATCGTCGGGTGCCGGGTAGGTGTGGCCCATTAGGTGGGTGTGGCCCATTGGGTGGGCGTGGCCCATTGGGTGGGTGTGGCTGTGATAACAGCAGACTGGGTGGGACTAAAAAGTTCAATCAATCAATTCCAACTTGGCGAGATCTTTTTTTTCCCGCGAGAAGTTGAAATTGACTGATTGATTGAACCTTTTTTTTTTTTTGCACACGGTGGCGGAGGCCTAAAGCGAAAAGGTTTTATAAAACCCAGCTGAAGGCCTAGGACTGGGGCGACGGCGCGCGTGCCCACAGAGGGGGCCCCGAGTGCCGCCTCTGGCACCCGTGCCATAGGTTTGCCACCACTGATCTAGATACAAAAATAGCAGGCTAAAAGAATGGATACACATAACTAAAAAACAGCATCTTCAATATTACTAACTGTAGCTCTGGTAGATTTAAAGGACTATATAAATTCTTTTATCTTTATAAAATCAGATCTGGAAAAATTATGAAGTGCAGTAAGATGAAAAATAGACACCGGATATTTTTTTCTAAGATCCAACAACACTTATTTGATACTATTTATATACTCCCTAGATCTAATTTTAACCAGGACAGGGTCTGAATATTTATGAGCACTTCACATTATCTGATACAATGCAAAACACTGTTTAGTGCCTTTCCCAATTTAGTTATGTCCAGACTTGTGGGACTGCTACTTCCATCGTCCATACTGGGATATGTTACAGAGAACACCACAAAGTCTAGTCCCAAGACAGGTTCTGGGAAAGAAGCATGAAAATGTTTCCTGAGCGGTGGCCATATTTATCTGTGCTGCATTAACATGTTTTTACTTAAGATTCTGGGGACTAGAAATTATTAAGGCTGAGTTCACACAACATGGAAGCTACGCTAAAATAATGTTGCAGCTGCAGGCGGAGGTGGTCGGATTGCCTACCCCTGGACTAGTCTGATGGAAAGTGTACATACGGTAGTTCCAAGTATCCAAGCGCCAGTCTTTCACACATGAGGTGTGAATATAAGGGGGGGGGGGAAGGACCGCTATTGCTCGCCCTGTTTCCTCTTGATTTATTCCACTGCCCCCTTTAATGACTTGTGGACTTCAACTGAGAGCTCAGGAATTCTGGGAGTTGAAGTCCACAAGTCATAAAGGGGGCCATAGCTCCCCACCTCTGCTCGAGGCGCCAGCCGCCTCACCCACAAGGTGCTCGCAAAATTGCGCACCGGCTCGAGTCTACCGGCAACAGAGAAAGGCAAGTCCGGGGGGCGGAGCTTAGAGGCGCGTCCTTCCTTGGAATGAACAAGGGAACCTGCGGGATTCTCTTCCACCGGAAGCGGGTGGCATCCGTGCAGTAGCAGGGCCTGAAAGTCTCGAGCTTCAGCCTACCTTATACGCAGCTTTAAAGTAGTAGAAACAGCAAATCATCGGCAAACCTTACTTAGCAACTTCCAGTTATTTATCCTGCCCAGTAGCTGTCTCATCCGCTTGTTCTGCGCATGTTGCTTATTATTAAAAGAGATACGGGTCCTCCGATAGGACATAATTATGCTATAATCGCTTTTCAAAGGGGGCGGTTAAACCCAGGTTCTTGGAAAGAGATTAAAGGGGGCTTACTGCCGTATTTTTCTTTAGGAACGAGCCTCAAATACTTTCTGGGAGTGTGAAATCAGTTCCCCCCCCCCCCCGTTATGCATCGTCCTTTATTTCTTTTCAAGGTTACTAATTTGCGTTTGAGCAGGAAACTCCTGCTAACTGATGTGCTAGTCAGTGTAATGATATTAATGTATTTTTATCAAAGCACCAAAAAGCAAGAGAAGAAACAATGGCTGGAAGCAACCTAGGATTAAGGAGAAATTTCCCAACGGTGAGAACAATTAACCAGTGAAATGCCTTGCTTTCAGAAGTTTTGGGTGCCCATCACTGGAAGCTTTTAAGAAGAGATTGGGCAGCCACTTGTCTGAAATGGTATAGGTCAGGATCTCCTGCTTCAGCAGGGGGTTGGACTAGATGACCTCCAAGATCCCTTCTAACTCTGTTAATCTATGTTCTAAAATGGACAGTGTGCTCAGCACTCACCCCAAGAGCAGGCAAGGTAACCACATTTTATTTTAGAAAAAATGTTAGTAATTCTTTAATGGAGTTTTTAAAAACAAACTAAAGCATTAAAGCTGACAAATAGAAAATAACTTTGAATATATGAATCCTGAGAGGTAGCTGTGGCATCAAAATCAATCCAATTTTTATCACATTAGGTTTTGTGGATGATAGTTCATTGTACCAGACACATGCCATGAGCATAGTCCTGAAAGGACTATATATGCAGCTGTTGTGAGGAAGTCGAATAGTGAAAGGACTTAGAGAGATTTGATAGTATTAGCAACCATTAAGAAAGCAGTCTGTAGGTAATTTTCCCTTCATGTCATACTCTATTCCTGCTGATTTTGTGGACACATATATGGAAGTGAGTTGCAGCTGCCGTTTTCTAGATGCTTTTCAACATTCCAGTCTAGACCTGATATTCCCTGGTGGTTTTGTGTCAAGCATAAGCCAGATCTAACCCTGCTTATTTTTTAAATCAGCCACTGTCAGCTGGGTACTGCCACTTAGCTGTATTAAAACAATTTGCTGTAATTATTGAACTATTTAAATTTTGCACCCCATTTTCAAAAGCTTCAAAAACTTGCAAAACACTAATTCAGCCAATACATTGTTGCAAACACAAGACAGGAATACAATAGGTATTGAGACAACTCTTATGCATGTAAGATTTGAAATCAGGCTGTTCTAGAATGATGAGAAGCTGCTTGCAGAAGATGGGGCTTGTAGTTTAACACTTCTGGAGGGGACCATTTTCAGGAAACTGTTCTACACTGTACTGTAGTATATCAATGTGTTGTGACAATGTCACTGCTGATTAAACAATACAATGTTGGGTAATACTGTAGAAATACAGAAAGCCAGCTAGCAATCCAAATGTACCCTAGAAAAAGTATCCTCCATTGCTCCTATTCCACAGGTGGACTCTGATGAGCTTACCTATTAATGGTATATTAAACAATACACAGCAGAATCTAACATTTTAAATTTCCAACAATGCTCTGGAACAGGGCTTTTCAACCAGTGGTACGGGTACCACCTGTGGTACATTGGCACTTGGCAGGTGGTACACGACTATCTTAGAAAAGTGGTAGCAGGGGAGGGGAATGAGCTGAACCGGTGGCAGCACCGCACAAGCCTGAGCGAGAGATGGCTGGAGCTGCAAGGCTGTCAGGGTTCAGCGGAAGCGCCAGGATCAGTGCCACTTTCCAACTGATCGGCGCTTCTTCGGGGCTGTCAGGGCTCTGTGGAAGCGCCAGGATCAGCACCAGGCTCCAGCTGGAGCTCGGCACTGATCCTGGTGCTTCTGCTGAGCCCTGAAGAAGCACCAATCAGCTGGAAAGCAGCACTGATCCTGGTACTTCTGCTGAGCCCAGAAGAAGCGCCTATCAGCTGGAATGTTGCAGCATCTCCAGGGTCTTGTGATTTACATTCAGATGCTTGGCAACTGATTGATATTTATGATGCTCACGGTGTCCCAGGGTCATGTGAAGTGACCAAAACCTGCTGCAACCACCCAGCAGATGGGGGAATAAAAACCAAACACTCCCCCCACTCCACCTCCGCTGCCAATCCTCAACAGAATTGCTCACAACAATGAAAACCTCGGACAGGAGGAAGAGCGCCGCCGGGTGGGCAGGCAGGTATCTTGCTCGGCTGCGGCTTGGGGGGCACTTTTTTAGTGCCACTGTAACTTCAAACAGTCACTAAGCGAAATGTTGTAAGTCGAGGACTACCTGTATTTTATCACTTTTTCCCTTTTTTTTTTGGTCATCAAGTTTTCGACACCTTTCTAGGTGACTAGTGGTACTCGGATATTGCCATAGCCTAAAAGTGGTACAATGGGTGAAAAGGTTGAAAAGCCCTGCTCTGGAACAGCTTTTCTCAACCAAATGTCCTTCTGACTAGCTGGATTACAACTACCAAGACACACTGGCTGGAAAAAATGGATATCCATTCAGTTAGTCATTGACAGTTGGGCATACAAATTTAAAATACTGGTTCATATACAATAAGTTTATTATTTTAATTCTTAATTTACAAAATGAGATATAACAGTGTCTACCATTCTTATTTTCTGTTCTGAAAATGCTACCACATAATTCTAGTTTAAAGGAAACTATTGATAAGGATCAGTTTGCTGAAAGGTTGTAGTAGGAAGCATCATTTCAGAAACACTAAGTCCACTAGCTAATTGGGGAGAGTTATTGTTTATATGTTGCAGAAATTGGGTATGTCTAGTTTAATAACAAAGACTAGAGGTGACATAGCAGTGTTCCAATATCTAAGAGGTTGCCACAAGGAAGAGGGAATCAAGCTGTTCTCCAAAGCACAGAACAAGAAGCAGTGGATAGAAACTAATCAGAGAGAACCAACCTAGAACTAAGGAGAAATTTCCTAACAGTTACAAGAATTAATCAGTGGTATGACTTACCTCCAGAAGTTGTGGGTCAGGGGTCTTCAAAATTGGCCCTTTTATGACTTGTGGACTTCAACTCCCAGAATTCCTTAGCCAGGCATGCTGGCTGAGGAATTCTAGGAGTTGAAGTCCACAAGTCATAAAAGGGCCAGGTTTGAAGACCCCTCTTGTGGGTGCTCTAACACTGGAGATTTTTAAGAAGAGATTGGACAATCATTGTCTAAAATGGTATACGGGTTTCCTGCTTGAGCAGGGGGATGGACTAGAAGGCCTCCAAGGTCCCTTCCAACTTTGTTATTTTGTTCTGTTATTCTATATAAAATATACTTGGTGTTATGTCTGTATTCAAATTATTGTCAGTTATTTTCTTTGTGAGTTTGACAATGTATAGCCAGTTTAATGAGAAAATACAAAAAACCATAAACATTTTTTTTCTAAAATGGACTATAAAACAAGGAAAATCAGTTCTGTATTATGACATTCAGAAACTTTTTGTGTAGTAGTAGAGTTAAATTGTTTCTCAATCTCACTAATTCTATATAAGGTTGGACTGTAACTGTATTAGCTTCATACCAAATAAGCTGTTTTCTCAAGAAATTTCACTAATAGCAAAAAGAAAAACAGCAGCTTTGCCAAGTTTGCAGGTGAAAATACACTTTATTTAACAGAATTCTAAAGAACTACTAATGTCAGCCCTGTGAAGCTGGCACTGGCAGGTTCACATAACTTTTTATTGCTGGGAGGGGCCTGATCTTGCGTCCAGCCCATCCCCCTTTCCGCTGCCATAAACCACTGTCTGGTCGCTTTCCTAGCCACCGGTTCCGACCAGCTTTCCCAAGATTTCGTTGGTTGTGTTCAACATTGGAAACTCTTCCCACTGTAGCTATGCATGTTTCCAATACCTGTAAGAATAAGCGGAATATTCCAGTTATTTGTAGGCACCAGACACAATTATTCTATTCTTTGTGCTTTCAATAGCTTTTAAATGTTTAGGATCATGGGAGAGAAAGAGAGGAAGACTGCCTTGAGGACCACTCCAGCTGAACTATCCACTTCTAACCCATCCTCCCTGCGAGAAGAAACCTGGTAACTTGTTTATATATATCAAGCAACACTGCAGGATAACCCAACCCCCCCTTCCCCCCAATCCCTTTTTTAAATGTGTTGGAATGTCAGGCCAAAAGAGGCACTGTTTGCAGGGAAGCACTGATGAAAAAAGCAAAATAGATGATGCTCTTCCCCATCAAGACAATTCTAGGGGTCAAAGGAGCCTAGCTTTTTATCTTCACTAATATTCCCAAACTCTAAAGGGCTTACCTGTATTTGCCTCTTGGAGGGCAACTGTATAATGGCCGTTCCATTCATTTTCCTCAGTAATACCCCACAGGTGCCTAAAAAAGAAAGTATCAGCAAGACTGCAATGTTCTAAACACCACACTGAATTAGACCAGCAGAGAAATCACCAGACTACTTTTTTTTTCATCCTATTCCAATAGAAACATAAATCCAGGATTTGCTATGGGCCAGTTTTGCCTAATGTGATATCCTAAAGCTGCATTGGCAGCCATCATACAAAGTTAGTATCTGGCACCAACCCCTTAGCATTTGAAGCTGGAGTCATTACTTAATCTCTTGTAGTCAGTCCATTGTGTTAAATATGAATACATTTGGATGATAGCCTGAAACTACACTGAACAAAACATCAAATTAATACTCTTGCTGTATGCATTGAACTTCTATTAAACATCATATCTTCATTTTCAGCATTATCACTGGCATAGATTTACAATCTGAAACACATTCTGAAGATCATATTCTACAATACCTAATGCTGAATATATTTCTCTATTTAATGAACATAATTAGAATGACTAGCATGAGTGCTGAATGTAACTTGGTGACTGTGTAAACATTCCACATTAACTGAATAAAATGATTTAGGAAGGTTTG